TTTTTTTTTCATATTTTTAAAGCTTAACCTTTTAAGAATATGTCCTTAAGAAGATTTTTCAAAATTCAAATTATTTTCGGAGATATAGCTGTTTTAGTGACGCGGCTTCCTATATCCTACCCTTATTATGCGAAACTTTGAACGCGTTTTTCTCGAAACTTTTTTTTTTGTCACGGTTGCAATGATATCTCAAGTTCTACTTAACCGATTTATTTGAAATTTGGTGAGAGTCTTCTCTATGCATTTCTCTATCGTACTAATCAAACCTCTTACAACAATTTTCAATTTCTACTATTTTGAAAAAATTCGGAACAGTAAAAAAAGTGGTAAAAATAATGTATCTTTTTTTCAGACAGCCGTAATTTAGTGAAAAAAAAATTTTTTTCAATTCTTTTAGTTCGAACGATAGCGGCATTATTCTTAATTAATAATCTTTTTTATTTTTTTATTTCGGATTATTAGAAGAGCTGCAATCGTGACAACCGTCGAGCACCAATTTTTTGAGACCCCCCACTTCATCAGCCTATATCTTTTTCAATTTTGAATTTTTTCACTATTTTTTTTTTTATGTATTCTTGAAATATTAATAAATATCTTGTAACATTATAGATAGTGAAAATATTATTCGTCTTTTTGTTATTACACTTGAAAAAGTACCTAAAATCCATGCTTCTAGACCAGAATACCCCTTTAAAAACGAAATGTGGAAGGCAGGACCTTCGTGGCTAATTTAACCAGAATCATACTGGCCACAGCACATAGTAGAAAAAGTAGAAATACCCGATATGAGAAAATTCGTGGCGGTCGCGACGTCCGACGAGCCGTTCGATCTATATAGGCGATATTCCTCATTCCGAAAATTAAAGCGCATAGTAGCCTACTGCATCAGATTCGCACAGAATGCAAGAGAGTCTAACGTAAACAGGGTTGGCGGTGAATTAGCAGTAAGCGAATTAAAAAACGCAGAAACAATCATAGTCAAATCCGTGCAGAGAGAAGCATTTTTTGAAATCATCAAGCAAATCCAATCTGGAAAGGATATTCGCAATTCGATAGTAGCCCTCAGCCCATTCATTGATAATCAAGGAATTCTAAGAGTTGGCGGGAGATTGAGCAAGAGTAATCTTCCATATGATCAAAGACATGCGGCATTATTACCAAAGATACATATTATTACTGAACTTATAATACGTGAAAGGCATGAGAAAATCTATCATGGCGGAACACAGGCCACACTTAATGCCGTTCGCGAAAGTTTTTGGCCTATCAACGGTCGAACAGAAGTAAAGCGTGTAATAAGCAAATGTACCGTTTGTCGGCATTTGAGACCCATCATGCTCAATTACAAAATGAGCGATTTACCAGCAAGTCGGTTACAACCAAATCGGCCATTCCTCCACACCGAGGTCGACTTTTGTTGACCAATATTCATAAAGGAAAGGCAGCATCGGAATTGCGGACGAATCAAGGTATACGTAGCAATTTACGTCTGTTTTACCACAAAGGCGGTGCATTTAGAGATAGTAAGCGATTTGACGACAGATTCATTTTTAGCTTCATTAAGAAGGTTTATGGCTCGCAGGGGGAAATATTCTGATATTTATTCAGACAATGCAACAAATTTTTTGGGCGCGGCAAATAAAATATAGTCACGCGTTTCTCGACAATTGTCCAACGACGATATTAGGTGGCATTTTATTTCTCCTAGATCACCTCATTTCGGAGGTCTCTGGGAGGCTGCAGTAAAATCCTTTAAGCATCATTTAACTCGAGTGATTGGRGAGACATTACTCACCTACGAAGCATTGCTAACGTATGTTTTAGAAATAGAGGCCATCCTCAATTCTCGCCCTCTTACCCCTTTTATCCAATGATACAAATGACCTACGCGCTCTCACTCCTGGACACTTCTTGATAGGTGACTCGTTGATAAGTTTGCCAGAKCACGATTTCAGGGATATACCATGCGGCCGGTTGTCGCAATGGCAACATATACAACAAATGTGACAGCACTTCTGGACACGATGGAGCAAAGAGTATTTGAATGAGCAAACGGTGCGTAAAAAATGGCACAAGGACGTGACGGATAACATAAGGATTGGCACACTAGYTATTCTGAGGGAAGACAATGCTCCTCCTCTTAGGTGGCCATTGGGTCGAGTGACGGAGCTACATACTGGTCCTGACGGCATAACACGTGTGGTAACGCTAAAAATGTTTAATGGAAAATTAAAGCGAAGTGTCAAACAAGTAGCACCGTTACTTAATGACGTCGAAACTCTTAATTAATGACTTTTGAACGGTATCCGTTCAAGGGGGGCGGTATGTTGCGTATTGCGCAATGTGTGATGTGAATTGTGTGAGGTGTTGTTCGGCGCGATCAAATTTTTGAACAGGACCCACAGAAGCGGGACCTACCGGCGCCGGTTCTTTCGGCGTATGCGCTAGCACAAGTGGACACAACGCTACTTCTTTAAGACAAGGCTTTCCCACGCAGCTTGATTTCCCTCTACAACCCTATGCTCGTCGGCGGACCATGGAGAGTGACCCGACGGTCATTGGTCAATCAATTTGGGGAAGGGAGGACACAAGACTACCCGCTCCCTATAAAGGGCCACGGAAAATCGTCACTGCATTCATTCAGTCAGCAACGCTTCTCGATTCACATACAACCAACKCATCAAGAGCAAGGAAAACTCATCGGCACCCGACAAAGCAGCCTAGCCACATCTCATCGAGTCAAAAGCAACGCAATCATCAGGCAGCTCAGCATCGGGGCGATAGTTTACAAACAACAACGCAACAGCGTACTATATAACAAACAATAAAGGAACAATTCAATTCACATTAATTCACATTCCTCCACAATCCCTTAAAACCTTTTCCTTTTACGATAAATAAAGAACATCGTACTGATCAAGGCACCTGTAATCAACAACATCAAAGAATGAGAATGAAAATTTAAATGTCCTGAATTTATTACCACGTCAAGGTAGACCAAAAAAGTTTGAAAATATTGTATTGACACCACTATATAAAATATCAGACAAATTACAACAGCAAAATTCAAAGACATAATTGACCTATTACGATATATACCACCGGAACATCATGATTTCTTCAAATCCCTTTTACACTCACAAAATGTAGATGAGTAGTAAACTGTTTTGTAGGTTAGTTTGTCATTTTGTACATTATGTAGTTAAAAAATGTTTTCAATCGCATAATTTATGTTTCTGAAGTGTTTTAAAGATATGTAAAATAAATTGAATATAGTTTTTTTCAATTTGAAGCATCTTAAATTATGTTGAATGGAGTTGTGTCCCTTCGAAATTTTATAACAAATCAGATTGTTAATTTTGAAAGTGGCCTATTTCCCCCCACTCGTGGTTAGAAAACGCATATTATTCATTTAAGGGGACACGTCAACAAAAAAATCGATTTTTTTTTTCGATTTTCTGAAAGAATATTATTTCAAAAATATGTCTTCAAATTTTGGTAAAGATCCTCGCATTATTTACGAAACTGTAGTAGTTTAAACGGAGCACGCCGTAGCGCTCCAAGTAAGTTACCAATAGGGATCCTATAGGAGGGATGCGCCATGTACATTGTTGGGGGACCGGAACTCGATTTTGTGCGCAAATGATTCAAACATTGAAATAATTATGAAATAATGAATTGCATCAAATACAGAAAAAAAATGAACTATATTTAATGATAATTAAAAATTTATATTAAAATAGAATAGGTTACACGAAAAAATTATTATAAATTCAAGCGGTCCCCCAAAATTTCAGCCAATGGCACATGAGCTGAATATGAATGGCGCATCCCTCCTACAGGATCCCTAGTTACCAATACTTTAAACGTTAATTTCTCCTATTCGCGTTTTTAAAACGGTTGCCCTCGCTGCGTCAAGACCATTTATCCGATCCTTACCAAATTTTGTACAGTAATACTAGATACACGTATCTAGGGAATGAACGAAAGGATTTTTCAAAAAAATGTTAATTTTTTTTTTCTCAAAAACTCGGCGATTTCTCTGCAAAAATGTCAATTTTTCGCAAAAAGTCGACTTTTTGAGAAAAATTAAAAAATCAAAATTTCCTTTCGTTCATTCCCTGCGCCAACATCTCTACTAAAGGATAACACTCAGTTTTTTTGTTTCTGATGAACCAATTTTTGTCAATAAGGGCAACCGAAAATCACCTTTTTTTTGGACTTTTAGAAAAGTGGCCACAGATAACACAATTTACAATATTTTTACACAAAAAAATTGTGAATATAGTTCAGATATATAACTTACATATACTAAAGTTTTGTATTGATATTAATAAAACTGGCTGCAAAAAAAATTCACAAAAAAACCGCTTTTTTTTACACTCGAAGGTGACGTGTCCCCTTAATTATTGCCACTATTTTAATAGAAAATATAAATTTAAAGCCTTTAGATACACTTAAGCAGTATAACTTGTTAGTACCTTGTACGTATATTTTTCATTGCATTGAAACGCAAACTCTTCAATATCTCGATTCGAAAATAAATGGAGATGGGCCACTTTCAAAATAAGCGGCCCATATGTTCTTCGGCGGCGTCTGCCAATAAAAAATATAGTTACTGTCCCAAGTGGAATTTAAACCTTAATGCTGCCAAAAAAGGTATTTTATGTTTCTATATCGCTGTATGTATTCATAAAGCTTTTTCAACTTTACCAGAAAATGGTACAACGTTTAAGATTATATTTTATTTTATCTTATGTATAACTATATGAAACGTTATAAATCTTATATCTATACTTTATATAATTTTTTATTGGTTATTTTGTTCTTTTTATTTCAGTTGTATGCGGAGTTGGAGTGGATGTGGCGTACCGTCGACACAATATGGGGCTTTACGTTACGTGAGGATAATTCAACATGCGTATTACCGTAATTCAATTCACGCATTATCCAGATTCAGAGAAAAAAAATATTAAAAAGCTAGACTAGGAACTTGATTCGATGATTCAATTTATGTCTGTATATTTATTGTTCATTTTTAAATCTGTTTTCTTATCTACGTAACGAGAGAGAAAAATAATGGTAAACAAGTAGACAATAGAAATAAAACGTAACGTAACTATGATTTCCATCGGTGACCAGAGAAAACGTAATTTTATCTTTCTGTAAGTAATATAATTTCAGAGAAAATTTAATTATTACCAGAAGGAAACGGAGAACGAATGAAATTACCATTTTGATAATGTTTAGTCGATTTGAAAAATGACTAAATAAGATAAATTTTCTATTCCTATAAATACTGCTTATGATAAATTTGCAATAACTATATACCTTCAATATCATTCAATATCGAAAAGAAATACCTTTAAGCTTTTATTTGTATTGTACCGTACCGTATCGTATGAGTAGAAATACAAAATATTTTTACAAACGTTAGATAAGATTTTATTTTGCGCAGGAAAATAACTTTAACGTTCATATTAATTTATTATTTTTTTATGCATTATACCTCCTAGTCTGATATGAGTACAAAAATAAAAGAATTGAGAATAATTTTTGATCTCTTCTACGATATAACGTGAGTTTGTGCAGTAATAAATATATACTTTTATTTTTGATGGTATGAAAATGAAGATTACTCTATTTTTAGGTTCGTGGTATTACAGTACAGAAATAGAAGGAAAAATATTTTATTTCGAAATTATTTTTTGTTTTATACAAAAAACGACTGTTTTATGTAATTGTAAGGCAATTAACAAAGAACACCAATCATTTAGTTTTAATAATTATTTATTTTTGTTCAAAATATCGTTCATTTATCTGCAGCAATTCTGAATTGTCGCGATCGCGCTGCTTATTCGCAAAATTCGGAATTGAGCGCGTTGCGAATTCACGATCAAACGTTAACGTGACCAAACATCACGACATTTTTCATCACAATACGCGAATAGCGCGATCGTGCTGCGTGACGCTAAAATGGTTAATAGAAAAGCTATTATGTTATCCACATGCACGTGTTTTCACGTTAAAAATCTTATTGTTTGACTTAATGAAGTTAGTTATAAATTTAAAATATATATTAATAAAAAAAATGTATCTAAATTTTTCATTTTTAAATAATTTTGTACTAGTTACTATTTTGTATATTTATTTATTTCTATTGATTTCCGTTTCATAATTAGATTCGTTATCATATTCCCTATTAGTCAATTTTTTTACTAATTATATGTTCTTTTTTTACTATATCTTCATACAGCTTTATTTCCTTATGTGTAAATTCATTACTTGACAATAAAAGAAGATATTTTGTTAATTGCTGTCTTTTTCTTTGAATACATCATTTTATTTAAGTTTACGTGTCGTTCATTAACAAAAATTTTTTTCTTTTAATGCTATTTACCTATAAACGAAATACACATAATATTTGTATCTATGCTGCTATTTAGTTTATGAAAATAAACGAAATTACAATGATTTCATTTCTAATTCTATTTCAGAATCTCATCTATGATGATCTTTTTTCTCGAGATAACTTGGGCCGTCACTTTATTCGTACAAATTTGTGTCAGGTAGGTTCGTTATGTAAAATAAATTGTCTATTATTTCTCTTGCTTGCATGCTAATGAACATTAAAGGTACAAGAAAAAGTAAATCACTCACGTATAGTTCGTTGAATTTTCTTTTGCATTTAAATGTTCGGATCATATTAAGATTCGTGATTTTCTTATTAAACAAATCAAGGTTCTTATGAATAATTTTTCAACAAAGAATGTCTTTTTTTATTTAATGTATCGAAATATTAATCATACTGTGATGACCAGTTGTCACATTATCCTTTAAGAATAAGTGACGAATTTGAAGTATCATTTAGGATTTGCAATTTAAGATCCTAGTAACATGAAAAACCAGTTTATTGAGAAATACAAATTTTCGATACGAGTGAGAAGATAATAATAAGAATCCAAAAAAAGAGAATAGCGGAAGAAGTACTTTCACAGGCTTCAAGATGAAGTAAGGAAGGACAAAAAAACGGATTTTAAGTTCAATGTGACTTTTTCGATATTTCAATCGTTTCTAAATGTACTAAGTCTTACTTATTTTAGAATAATTATACAAAAAACTATATTTTTTTTTATCACATACGATGGCATAAGATAAAAAAAGATTAGGATACAGCAATAAGACAACATAATTCATCAAATAGAAAAATCAAGCATTATTGTCTAATATACAAAAATAGAAAAAAAGTAAAACAATAAAAAAGTATAAAAAACCGTTAAGTTTATTTTCACACAATTCAAAAATGTAAGAGAGCTTAGGGGTTAGCTCGTCCTTTTTTCTCATTTAAAATTGTGCGTCCTCATAATTAGGTGTATAGGAATTAGAAGTAGATTCACAGAAAATTATGTGGCACTCGAGGCTCCGGGGGAAAAACACGCAATTCACATTAATTAATATTATTGTGAATAACCTTGAAGATAGCTGCCCTCGGACTAAGATGGTCGAAGGTTGAAAAGTAGATTAGAGAGATTCATTAAAGCATAATTTAGTTTTTCTGTAGAGAAAGTGTCAGTAAAGTAAGCTAACAATTACTAAGTCGAAAAGTTTAGCCCAGTTTTCGTTGTATTACTAATGCAAGTTCGGATATATGAAAAAAGAGAAGAAAAGAGTACTCAATGATAGAACGATGCTAATTTGGAGTTCGAAAGTTTGCCAAGTTCATTTCATTATCAGCCAAAAAAAAAATTCGAGTGGTATATAAACGTGCGTATGCCCAAGAACACGTTTTACGGATCGACTTTAGTTAACGTTTATATGTGTGTCTGGTATTAAAAGAAAAAGTTGAAAGGGAAACAAAGGTGGCTTTATCTTGATCCGACAAGTCGTATTTCGGAAATTTACGCCCTTGTCGTAGCCATTTAAAACGCTTGGGTATGATCACTTGATATCCCATTTAGAACTAAAGTAGTTATAAGTAATAGGAAAAACATGTTAATTAACATAAAAAACGTAATAAATCTGTATCCTTAGTATTTATAATTGTAAGGAAATCAATTGTTCTGTATCCGGTTAGGGATATCTAATTTCCTCTTGTTTCCGACACCATTTAAGATATAAAAAGATATATTCTTTATTCAACAATTCACAATTATTTACAATTAATTGTCAATTCACAATCTCTCAAGCTCACTTTGACCTTACAAATACTCACACTAACTCACGAAATACACAAAATCCGCAAATACCCGTAAAGCTCACAATTAATTCCGCAACTCGCTATCAAACCGAAAACTCGCTATACTTACAACTCGTACTCGCTATTCCCGTTAAACTCGCAATTGAACCCGAAGATTTGCTATACTCGCTCGTCATACCCGCTTGAAACATCCTCGCACGCGTACTCGCCATATTTTTATATGTTCGCGCCCCCACCCTGCATCCCTGGTAGATAAACAATTTTCAGCACCGTTCTCATTGTTAGTGAATGTCTTGCCACGCACCAGTATAGTCTTGAGCAAGTGGATGCTTTTTGCCACGCGCCAACATAGTCTTGTGCAAGCGGAAACTTTTTGCTACGTGCTGGGTTCTCGTTTCTTATTTTTTTTAAACGTTTTGTCACACATACACACGCATACAAGCATACTATTCCGGATACTTCCATCCCACATAATCTTTATATTTTTTAGCTTTTTAGTTTTATCTTCTTTTTTATCACTTCGCAAGGAAACAATACGATTTTCTTGTATTTTTCTTGCTTAGTTTTTTGCACAATAATCGTAAGTCAAATAGAATACATGTTCGTTTAATTGGTTAGAAAATTAAAAAGATTTTCGTCAACAAAAATTTTTACTAGACATGACTTTTTTTAGTTTTATACCCATTTTATATATACCGAATCGATAAAAGAGGATAGAAGAAAGGAAAAAAAGAAAATGGGATTCCATTGCTCTCATCTGGTTCTTGTCTAACATAACTGCAATTTGTAGAATTACTCTCTAGTAGAAGTCCATCGTATATGTGGTTTAATTCAAGTACGATGGATCGAGCAAAGTGATTCTTTTTTTACGTTAAAACTACTGAAACATAATCTGAGTAATAGAATGGCCCCACTCGACAAAAAACACATATTTTCAACATAATTCACTTACCAAAATTAATATTTATTTTTCGTTTTTATTATTTTCTTTTTTTTTTAGTAAATATTTACCAAAATAAGATTTTCATTGTTGCTCTATCAGTTCGTCAAAAAAAAGGAAGAAAGGTTAAAAAGTTGGAGAGCACATTAAATAAAGAGGTAAGCATAAGAGATAAAATTGCAACTTTTCCTTTCTAGAAGCGAGGAGGCTCTTTGTTCGTATTGCTGGTCGCGCGTACTTGCGATAACGAGGGGTTGGCGAAGAACATTATTTTATCTACCACTGTCTTGCATTTTGGCATGGAAACCGCACAAACTCGGGCTCTCTTATGTCGCGGGTAAGTTAACAAACAGAATGTTTAAATGCGGCATGCGTGCAAGTTTATGAGATCTCTTTTTCGGCATTCCCTTAATAAATAATGATGCACGAATGCCGTGAATAAATATCAAGATTAAGCGCAAACCTTACCAACTGAATCTTTTCGTTGCTTTACGAAAAACTAGCAACCCTTTGTAACAGAAAATATTAGTTATTTATTCAACATTAATGATTAAAAGCACGAAAAAAGAATAAAATACAAAATGAAGTCCGCACTCTGTCGACGTCTTGAAGTTTCTATAAAAAAAAATTCATAATCTAATTGAAAAGTTTTCGAGAATACGAGCCGCGATAAAAATCTAATTGTAAGTTTTTGCATCTTTGTTGCCTCTCGCTTCGGACTGAATTTCTTTTTTCATTTGATTCGAATGAAAAATAAATATACAAGAAAATAGCAAGAAAGAAAAAATGTAATCAAAAAATGAATAAGAAAGTTTTACGAATTTTCAATATATATATATATATATATATATATATATATATATATATATATATGTAAGGGTGAAAGAAAGACGAAGAGTGCGAGTGTATGGTGTGCGTGAAAACAATTGATGAATGTGAAAGATGTGTAAGAGTATGCAGCGATATGGGTATGAGTGTGAGTGCACGCAGCGATATGGGTATAAGTGTGAGTGCACGCAGCGATATGGGTATAGTGATTAGAGAAGGTTCAGATTCATCATCAAACTTTTATGTGTACTGATTTCTGTCTCTGAATATCTTTTGAACGCTTAATTTAATCGCCAAAACATAAGACACCATTTTTATAGAGCAGTTAATTTCCTACAAAAATTTGTATTGCACATTTTATAATAGTCATTTATTGTCGAGTTATAAAATTCATAAACAAAAATGAAATTTGTC